CTGATCTGACTAGGGAGGTAGAAGTGTGTCTGTGAGAATATCCCTCTTGGCAGAAGATATGTGATTAAAGGAATGATGAGAAACATCCACAAATCTGTTTCGAGAGATGGTGAATGAAAAAAGCACAGAAATATTCCACTGTATTTGTAGGCTCATATCTGATTATAAAATGAAAGCTTGCCTTTTTAACATGATTGTGAAACCTCAGGAGATAATAATCTTAAGGTTTAAATCCTTATTTGAAGCTCATCCAGGCTGTTACACCCTTAAATTCTGTAAAATCTGGCTGAATATCACACAAGAACAGGCTTTTTTATTTTTTTTTTTTTTTTGTGAGGTTGTTTGGTACTTACTGCCTCCGCTTCATCTGGAAATGCTGTAAGAGCCTTTCTCATCATATGATATTTATAATTATTATTATTTCAGTATTCCTCATTCCAGACTGGGTGGAGTGGAGGTTACAAGGATGATCTTTGAACTCTAATTTAATATGACTATGTATAAAGAAATGTCTTGGTTGTACTATCTGGGGTGAAAAAAAAAAGACCTTTAAAACATCCTTATTAAAAAACACTACATAACTTTTAGTGTCTTGGATCAGAGCCTCTAGATTGCTGTCCGGGATTGTAGAGTAGCAGGAGTGCGTGTCCCTGGAGTATCTATTACCTGACTTACTCGTTTATGCTAGAGGGAATTTTCCCCCTATTTTCTGAATATTTAGTGGATTCAAAATAACAAAAATTAACTAATAATGTACATACCCTGCTGTACCCTTCCATAATTATATCACTAATCATGAAGCTGATTTATGTAAAATGGAATAATGAAAGTGCGGTGATTTTGGTTTTTAATTCCTGACCCATCTCATTAAGCAGTGGTAAAACATCCCTGACTGCATGTGTGCAGGGTGTCTCTGGGGTGGTCTATCCATGAGTGCTGCAGAGGTGGCAAAATTCTCTTGCTGGATTTGCCACTGGGTCTACTGGCTGCAGCCAGTGAACGCCTTCAAAAGTTTGTCTTCAGTAACATGATATATGGTACTCTCTTTCTGAGAATTGTTTGGCAGTTTTTGAAAGAACAATTTTTCTTGGAAAGTGCTCATTTGTTGAAACTCTTAATGAAACAATCTGTTTTCTTGGTCTCATGAAAATTTGGAGGAGGGAGCTGTATTTTTTTTTGTGTGTGCGATTGTAAACCAATCATCTCTGCAGTTTTTCTGTGCAGAGATGCTGAGGAAGAAATAGCAAGAATTTACCACATTCATCCCTGGGGATGTGGGAAACTGTGGATGAGATCCCAGCCCCCACTTAGACTGAGCTCTGCCCTGAGTGGTAGGCAACGGGCTACACTGAGATGGGTGAGATGTAATACATCCAGCTGTCTATTTAAATAGTTTGAGCGAGCGCTCCATGAAACACTGTCCCATTAAGGCAAAAGTGTGCACTAGCATTCCTGACAATAACTGCCTGTTGTCCAGGTTCTTGGTTATAGGTAAATATATATAAATACTTTTTCGTACAGGTATAATAACTCACAGAACAAAATTTTCCACGGTTTGTACAAAAATTAACCACATGATTGTTGCTATGTGTTTTAGTGGAAATATAAAATACAGGAGAAAAAGTGTTCTTGCTCTGAAAATGAAGTATTGTTCTAGAATATTGAAAATTGTCTTTCAAGACAGATGTGTTACAGCTCAGAGATTGCACCAGAGAGGAATTAAGTATTTTTCAAGTTCTCTGAAAGTGAGTATTTTCAATACGCAGTATGACCAAGTAGTTGGTTCCTCCATAAAACTTACAATGACTCTCCTGAGAATTATATCTAAAGTGTATCTTCATATGAATTTAGTGCTCAGACTATGCCTAGTTTTTTGGGTTTTTTTTCAGTACTGGCCTACAAAACTGAGTTGAAACTCACAGATACATTAATTTTTCATTCCACTGATCACAGAGCTTGTGACCTGGCTCCCAGTGAATATACCTTTTCTGAGTATTAACTAACTAGGGTCCTTGTAGCTAGCCTGAAAGAGGTAAAAATGTGACTCGGTACAGAGAATAATAACCTTCCCACACCTCCTTATAATCCAAGAGGTGAAGTATCTTGTGCTACTGTATTGCTCTCCAAGTAGTTGTTCTGGGAATAAGTAGAAAATGTAATTTCTCATCCTTTCCTTTCACAACATGTGTAGTTTTTATGCATTTGTGTTGAAGTACCTCCAGTCAGAAGCCAGTGCATCTTTGTGATAGGCATTTTATTATACAGAATGAAAAGGTTTCCTACTATAGCCTTTACCATTTGAATAAAGAGAATTATGTAAGTCATAAGAGAACTAAGCATAGAAGAATTGAATTGGAATTAGGTATCTATTAACAACAACAAAATGCCTGTGCCATAGTAATGAGGATGCCTTCTGAGGCAGCTGTTACACAGTACCATGAAGGGGACTTTTTTTTTTTTAACATGAACTTTGTGTTGGAGTGCATAAACTCTAAATTACTAAATTACATAAATATTTAGGTGAATTGAGCTTTACTGGCAGACATGTAATTCTCAAATAGTTGAGATTTTTTCCTATCTACATTCTCACAGATGTGTGAAAAAACAGTTACAGTGCAGGTAGCTTTTTTTTTTATTTTGAGAGAGAGAGGGTGTTAAGGGAGAATTGTAAGGAATTCAAACTATTAAGATAACATTTTTATTCTATTTTGGATCTTAGGGATTCAGTCTTTCAAATACAGTATAACTCCCAAATTATTTTTATCATCTGGCCTTTTGGCAACATTTAACCACATTTTTGTAGCCATGTTGTACTTGAAATGCAAAATCAATGGGAAATGTTTTTGCTTATGCCACCTAACATTTATGAAAAAAAATCTACAGAATTCTTGGAAGAACAGGGAAAACTATTGGACTTTACACCCCAAAAAAAAAAAGAAAAAGGAAAAAAGAAAAAAAATTATATCATTAAATCTTTCAGTTTAGAGTACTTTTATATGAAGTGTGCTCAGGTCACCAGGATTTATTGTTGGTTTTGTTATTCTGCATGAACAGATGGGCAAACTGAGATGGCTGTGGCAGCGGTGAGCTGAAGCAGCCATTGATGGAACAAGCTTTCTCACCAGAGCATGGCCCAGAGCAGGGCTGGAGCAGAGCCCAGTGCTCTCTGGGGCCCTGCCCACTGTCTGTGCTAGATGGAGCGCTGACCTGGCTGGGCAACTGGATGCTAGCTCCGCCATCTCTGCATTGTAACCTGTGAAACCTTGTAGGCATGACTTTAGATGTATTATTCTTCAGGTCCTCTGGAACTGTCTCTGCCATATTCAGCTAGACATCTTCAGCTTCTAATTTAGTCCAAGGACATAAAGAATGGATGCTACCAGGTTGCACGGAAGAATGACACTATTAAAATAAAAACCAGCTAATATTTGTATTTTATTTTTAGCTTATTTCCTGTTGTTTCCCCGTGGCTGCTGACGTAGACACCAAAGCTTCCTTTCTGGTTGCTTTGCTTAAAATATACATACATTATGCATATATGGGTCTGCATGCCAGAGTATCTGGGTGTGGACTTGTCAGATCATTCAGTGTATTTGCTTATGAATAAAGCAGCATCAGCTCAAACTCCCTGAAAATGAGAACTATCAGGAGGTTGCAGAAGGACCTTTCTGTGAGGCTTCTTCTTCTTCTGCAAACATAGCCCTGAGAACATAGATGCCCTGCAGCCTGTATTCTCAACATGTGTGCTTGTAGCACAGACAGGCAGATATTTCCCCTGACAGACAGACAATAGACAGTGGACCCAAACACTAAATGTCTCTCCTCCACTACTTCACAGTAAAGGACTGAGTCAGCATGTGGTACTTAATGTCAGAATTCATCAGGAGTTACGGTATTTATAAGTACTGAAAGGGAGGCTAGGCCCTTCAGATAATAGTGCAGGATGCTATCCCTTGAGGTGTCATGTGGCTTCTTGCTCTCTCCCTTCTATTTTTAATTTCCCTTTGAAGTGAGTTTATTGAGTCACACAGGACTGAAATAAATACTTAAAAATGCAACAGACAATAATTCAGCTTCCTTATTTCTTACCTTATTCATGTGCTGACCAGACACTCTTTGTCTTCTTAATTTCCGATCTCCATCCCCAAACTCCGTGCGCTTCCTGAATTTCTTTGGCTTATGATAACACCACAAAACCCATCCAATTACTCATTTAGGCTTATTGTTTCCTTTTTTTCCCTGAAGGCTAGCCAATTCTCATAAATATAAGTTGTCCCTGGACAGGTAAATTTCAGCACATGGTGTGGTGAAATCAGGTGTTAGGCATTACAAGGGGTTCCCAATCTTTCATGAGCATTGCAAATATGTGTAATTAGGAATGATTTCCACACACACACACCCCCACACACACCCACTGGACATTTGCTGGAGTTAGGAAGAAGATAAAGGTTGTCAAAAGCTAACTTTTCCTATTATCTTCCTACTGCCTGAGTGTACAACAGAACTGAAATTGTTACATGGTATTGCATGTTGTGTCTCGGTCCCAGCATTGCATCATTTTCGCCATAACATCATGTCCAATGACAGATGAGGCATGAAATATCCTTATTTTGCTCAAAATACCTTGTTCTTGGCACATTTGTGTGTATGTTTTTAAAAGATACTGTAGATTGTAGCGAGGGGATTCTAATTCTACTTAAGTGGCATTAGGAAGTCCTGGGTGTAGTAATAGCACCCAGAAGACAGGGGTTTGACCACTGTCTATCTGGGATCTCAGGATTTCACATGAAATTTCTCAGTTGTATGAATACGTGTGAGTCAGTTCTCCTTCTGGCTCACTGTGTAATATTTGGTACCCAAAGCCTCCATTAAGGGTCCTTCAGCAGAGTATCTACATGATACACCCACTCATAGATTCTATATCAACCCCTATGTAGCTTCTGCTAAGTGTAATATGCATTTGTTCTCTATTTAAACTTCTCTTGATTTTCTTCTTGTAGGTATTATGACAACTTTACCCAGTGCACCGAACGTGAAGCCAACAATGCGAGTTGCTTTTGGCCAAACCCCCTCGCAGAGGGCTTTATCACTGGAATTCATAAACAATTCTTTTCAAACTGTACTTCAGAAAAGGTTCACTGGGAAGATCCACCAGATGAAATTCTGATAACCCTGATCTTGATCCCAGTCATGTTGACATGTGCCATGATAACACTGGTAGTATGGTGCAGCAAGAGAAGTGATATCCTGGTGTAAGTTGTTCCTCTGGGCTTTTTTTCTCTCCATTTCCTTCTTGCAAAAACACTAAAAAAGGAGGATGAAGAGAGAAACTTGACATAAAGATTTCAGATCTGCTGAAATGGAACCTGTGAGATACTGAGACAGAGACAATATTCCTGTGAACAGAGCTGCCTCCTGCTGCTGCTGAAAGTCACTGTGTCTGAGCTTGGCCATCGGTGTTGCTGGTGCAAAGTTCTCTACTTCCATTGGGCCTCATCAACAGTGAATTCACAGGCAGCTCCCAGGAACAGAACAGTCCCCAGGCAAATGGACCCCTCAGCTGCAAAGGGAGTAAAGTTACTTTCCCATGGGTAAATCTGGTTGGTAAACTAAGTTTTGCAAAACTGTATTTAAGTGTATGTACACACGGTGTAACATTGACGGTGGGGGAGATATCTCTTGCAGTTTTGTGCAGGATGCTTGAGGTTTTCATCTGTGAACTTTTGTGACTTGCATAGAAGATCACTGGCAAAGGAACTGAACATGGATGTGACCAAGTGGCAGCTTTTCTTGGAAGCTAGTCAAAAACATTATCAAGAACTGGAAGTATTGTCCTGGCAAAGAAACAATTTATGTCTCCAGTGTCTATCCCCACAGGGAAATTATGCCATGTTATAAAATAGTTTATAAAATGTCTTTAAGCATGGCTACTTGAAATTGTATGGCTTACAAACTAACTCTGGGAAGATATATAGGTCTTATTTTACAGAGCTTGAAAATGTGAGGGCAAATTGGTTGATTATAAATATACTAAGGACTAATGAAGAAACCTTCATATGCCAGACTCTTTATTTTTCCTCTTTTATAATTATTATTCTTGACAACTTGTGTTCATTGTATACTCCCCACTCTCACTTCAATTTGTGCAAGTGATATCCTACAAATAAATATAAAGGTGTCATGTTGATTGAGGTGCCTTTCAGAGTATAATTTTGTACATAAAACAATTCTTTGTCCTGTGAAGAGTGTGGGAACTGAAGTATGAACATCAAAGCTTGGAACAGACGTAGGAGGAAAGAGAAAAAATCTACTCAGAAAACTTATTCTATGAAGCTATTCCTATGTAACAGTTTAAATAAATAAAGACCATATGCCCAAAATAAAACAACTTCTATGTGGTGTAAACCTTTCTTTTCTGTGATTTCACAAAATCCCTTTCAGTCAAATGCTCTTCTATTATAAATGAGCAGTATCTGTTAGAGTGACATTTTTCCAAACCTTATGCACACAAATAAAATACAGGTTGAATGGCCAAGTAATGGCGTTTCATATATATGCTAGTTAGATTTTCTCCTTTAGGATTCTGACCCACTGTTTGAGATTTAGGTCTGTGTGAGAAGCATTTCCAGGCTTGCCTCAAATTAGAAGTGCCCCCTTTACTAGAATTGTTTATATGTAGATAAATGAAGAACACCTGTAGCTGTACTGGTTTGTTTTCGCATCCTTTCACAAGAGCTGAAGGTACCAGCTTGTTTTTTTCATTACCCTCATGTTAGAATGATTCATTTTCTAAGGTGTTTCCTGTGTGTTTTTCCAAAGATACTTTTTCATTCTAAAGGTGCTAGCAGCAAATTGCTCTTTGTAAAAGAAGAATGACATATGTACTAACAATTTTGGTTTAGTTTTCTACTTAACTATTGTTTTCTGCATTGAAATGTTTCAGTCCACCAAAACTAGTGAAGTAAACAACCCATTTCATTTGATCAAAAAGGTTGTTTGGTTAAGTATTTTGTGTGGCCAAAACCAAATAATTTTACTTTTTGAATGGAGTTCCATTTTAATCCTCATTTTACTTTAAATTTCAACAAGCTTCAAAACAAGTTTCAAAACTTGAGTTTGGAAATCACATTAGCAAAAAATCTTACTTTTAAAAACCATGTTATTTTCAATCTAATTGCCATATTTGGTGCAAATTCTTGACCAGTTCTGGCTCATTTCAAACTGTGTTCACCTGATCAACAGGTCCTCTGAGAGATATCAGCCAGCTTAATTTAGTATAAACCACATTGGCCTCGGTATTAAATGGAGAAGAAATTGTCACCTTGATGACATCACACTACTAGATGTATATTGTGGTCTTTAAATAAATACCATGTTTAAACAGATTCTGTTTAATTTGAAAATAAAATCTAGTGTGAACTTTTCAAAGAGTCTTAAGAAATGTAAGAATCAAAGAATAAAAGATAGTGGATTCTCCTTCATGTGTTGTGGGATAGGGCGAATGATTCTGTAGCTGCCCTGTGATTTGGATGTGAAAATTTAATCTTTTTTGTTTGTCATCCCCACCTAAAGTGTGATCTTCCACTATTTTTTTTAAAACACTTGACAGAAGGGCAGAGAAGTTCAAACAGTGCACGGGAAATGACTGCTAACTTAATGTAGCCTGAGTGGTTAAATCTGGAGAAACGATTAGAGTGTTTCAAGGAAAAAAGCAGCTGCAGTGTCCAGTTCTTAACAGCTCTGAACATTAATAGGGAACCAGAATGGTAACTGTTGGATCATTTGACATAACTTGTACTATGTGTTAGCGAGAGTTAGTGCTTATTTTCTACTGCACGGAGCCTGCTACCTTTCCCCCAAAGCCTGTTTCCATGGCCAAGAAAATCACATCTGGGACCAAGAATCTGGTGCGTTTTGTAATTGTGAATTAATTCTATGTTACAACGGAATCACAGAGGAAAATAGGCAGAGATTCAAACAGAAAGAAAATAACAGGTTCAAAATCCTTCCTAGAATTGGAATGGTGGTTGATCCCAAGCAATACTTAGGCAAGAAGAGAAGTGACAGGCTTCCTAAGCATCTAACTGACATTGCATACAGACTGGGGGAAAAAAGGATCAAGAGCAGCCGGGCAGAGAGGCACTTGGGGGTACTGATGGACAAAAAGCTGGACATGAGCCGGCAATGTACACTGGCAGCCCAAAAGGCCAAAAGTACCCTGGGCTGCATCAAGAGAAGTGTGGCCAGCAGGTCGAGGGAGGTGATTCTGCCCCTCTGCTCTGCTCTGGTGAGACCTCACCTGGAGTACTGCATCCAGCTCTGGGGCCCTCAGCACAAGAAGGACATGGAACTGTTGGAGCGGGACCAGAGGAGGGCTACTAAAATGATCTGAGGGCTGGAGCACCTCTCTTATGAGGACAGGGCGAGAGAGTTGGGGTTGTTCAGCCTGGAGAAGAGAAGGCTGTGGGGAGACCTGATTGCAGCCTTTCAGTACTTAAAAGGAGCCTATAGGAAAGACGGGGAAAATCTTTTTAGTAGGGCCAGCTGTGACAGGACAAGGGGTAATGGTTTTAAACTAAAACAGGGTAGGTTTAGACTAGATATAAGGAAGAAATTCTTTACAGTGAGGGTAGTGAAACATTGGAACCTGTTGCCCAGAGAGGTGGAGGCCTCATCCCTGGAAACATTCAAGGCCAGGTTGGATGGGGCTCTGAGCAACCTGATCTAGTTAGCGGTGTCCCTGCTCCCTGCAGGGGGGTTGGACTAGATGACCTCTAGGGGTCCCTTCCAACTCAAAACATTCTATGATTCTATGATTTTTTTTAATTCAGGAACAATGGGGAAAATCTATATTTCCGTCGGGAATAAGAGCTACAGCAAAGAGTTGACAGAGGATGATAACTAACAGGAGCAAGACAGTCTGAGAGAGCTGCCATCACTTTCCAGAAAGATATCAAGGGTGAAGGTCAAAGGAGGAGAAGAGCTCTTGAAGTACAAGGAAAAAGATGGTCGAGAACACAAAACAATTTGGGGCCTCTTTCCAAGAGGACGACCTCCCCAGAAGGAGTTTGGAAGCAAATGCCCCCTAGTGCATTGCTAATGAATGCTGAGGAAATCACGCATGATCTCTACCCCTCTGCAAAGTTCATGCAGGGGTGATCAAAAGGCTTTCTTTCACCTCTGGCATCCCCACAACCAAAGGAATGGCGACAGTAGAAAAGCCTGTCTGTCTGTAGCCTGAACGTCCTGATGGCTTGACAGGGAGGCCCAGCACCTGCACCCAGTGCCTGGCCACCGAGGCCAGGGACAGCCCCGGGGCCTCCTGAGCACAGGGACCTCCTTGGGGCCAGCACCCAAGGGCCTTCCTCCAAAGGAGGCTGGGCAGAGGGGCGGCGGGTGGGGCTGCGCATGGGGGGCCCCGTCACCCCCATGTCACAGTGCCAGCACCCGGCAACGCAGCAGTCACAATGCCCCGGGCCACTATAAAAGGGGGCACCCTCCCCTCCCCCGCTGCCAGAGGTGGCCTGGGGGCAGCCTGAACACATCCACCAGGAAAACCTTGAGGAGTCGCCCGAATGCCTTGGTGTGGGGGCTGACGGAGGAAGACCGGAGGCTGGACGAGGCTGCTGGAGGTTCTTGGCTGCAAGGCCAGCTCCCAGCAGGGCCACACCGCAAGCTCATCTGATGGATGGAAATCCTGCTTCAGCCTTCGGGAGACAGACGCAAGCCCCTCAGAAGATGAGAAGAACCACCAAGCCCTGGAGGTGCCCCAGGCTATCATCGGGCCTTTTCAGCTGGAGACCAGCGGCAAGACCAAGGGAATGCCTTCTGGCGCAGCACTGCAGTACTCACCGTCCTTATCCCCCGTGGAGCCAGGGGCAGGAGCCGGAAGGAATGGCC